TTTTTTTTGTGAAATTTGTAACTCTTCATTCTGTATTAATTTAAAGGTTTTTATCATATCTAGTCCAATGATAAAATCCTGAAAATTTTCTTCTTTGACTATGTACACATCCATTTCTTTTTCAACGTCAAATATTTTTATCTTAATTGTAATTAATCCTTTTGTTGTTCCCACACCATTAATCGATTTCAGGTATATTTTATTTACATCATTCTTCTTCCCCTTTACTTTAATCAATCTTGAGTTTATGAGTGATACCTGAGATCCTGGGTCGTATGTTCCTTGAATTTCTAACTTATCCTCTAATAATAGTCTGACCTTGATTAATGGTGTGTTTATTCGTTTTTTTTTTCGGTGTTTAATTGTGCATCAATAACTGAGTTGTTTCCTATTAGGCTTGTTGTGCCGGTGTGTTTTCCTTCTTCTTTTGTTTTGAACCAACATTTTTCTGCCGGGTGGTATCTAGTGCCTTTATTCAAACTTTCGCATACAGTGTAGAAATGCGTTTGCGAATAGTGCGATCGAGAGATACATTCTGCCTTATGGATCAAACCGAACGAAATTTCGAAGTTCATATAATTGATGCTACACTTCTTGTTAGACGTTCAAAAATTTCACCTGGGCACCTATTATGAAAATGTTCGGAATTGATTCCTATCGGAATTATTCCGTTTTTCCCTAGATATTTCTAGATGGGTTATTATGGACGCTCGGATTGTTTCCGAATCGATCGGAAAGTTTCCGGCACCTCGCGAGTTGTCGAAATGTCGATTCCGATCGGAATAAAATAGTGAGAAAGCGGTAATGTGCCAAACTTTGGCACATTATTGCTTTCTCACTATTTTGGTGGCATGCTCTTGGAGGTTATGTGAAATAGAACAACGACATTGTGAAAACGTAAATTGTGATCATGGTAAGTAAGAAAAATATTTTTAATTTTACATTCATATAGATACATACAAGACGATTTGTTTGAAGTAATAATGATTTTTTTGTGGAAATAATCGTTTCCAAGAAAATGTTTTAAGTAAAAATTATTTACCTTCACGAAATAAAAATAGGTTTTAAATAGAAGAAGGTAAAGTTAAAATGAGAGAAAAAAAGTAATAATTTTATAATCTTATTTTCTCACTGAAACACAAAATAATTCTTGTGTGAAATCATTTTGGAAGAACCGCGCTTATTTCCAGAAAAAGATTCAGAAATTATTTATTACTTAAATCGAATCGCTTTGTATATACTTTATCAAAAAATAGTAATATATATTTATTATACATTTGTATTTCTACATATTTATTTATTACATCTTTTCCTTTTTTATATCATAGTTAGCAGTAATACGCCGCGAGAGAGAAAGACAACGTCGTGCAGAAATTCGTGCAGCTCAGATAATGAGACGAACATTGAGGGATATGCTTGATCCTTTTGCTTTACCCGAACAGCAATTCATAGGCATGTATCGATTAAGTAGAAACATGACTAGAACTCTAGTACAAGAGTTGGAACCACATCTTCCTCCACAAAAGAATGCTTTGGCAATTCCAAATGAATTAAAGGTAAAGAAAATATGTAAATAGTATTAGTATTATTGATTATTAAAATATTTTATGTTACTTTTAGAAAACAATATTAACGTTTTACATGTATTTTTTTTGGCTTATCCTTTTGGTCTGAGAAGTAGAGATTTCAAGCTTTAAAAAGTTTTTTTTGAACATCTCGCTACGATGATTTTTCACTGTTATTGCTATTTGAAGATATTAAAAATTAGTGCTAAAATTCAAGTGGCCCATTTCTTTTGCGTGTGAGTGTATATATATATAAGACAATTATCTTTATATGTTGTTCGCTGGTAACAATAGGCACAATATGTTTCTCTGTAAACAAAGTTTTGAATTTTATTCACGATTACAATTAATTACAAGATTTACAATATTTACACCCTCACCTGTAAACAAAGAAACGACAATTAAAGCCTATTATCCTCCTATTGTTCCTCTTTATTTACGCTTCCTTAATCTTTGGCCTTTTCCGACCTATCTCTCAATCACTGCCGATTTTATCTTTCTATCTGTCAATTCTTCCTTGCGTACCCCTCTCTTCTCCCCTCTTTTTCTTATCGCTCTCTTTCTGTCTATCGATAATCCATCCGTGTGTTTTCGTACTGCTCGTTCCATCTAGCGGGGTCAGTTCAAGTGGTATGCGGAGCATGAGGAGCGCGGCTCATTTGAGTTAAAGAAACTATGTTTTCTTTACATATATATATATTATTTTTATTTATTCAAACAGGTGCTGTGTGCTTTGAATTTTTACGCTCAAGGTAGTTACCAGAAAGCTGTTGGCGTGGACAGTAGATTGAGTATAGCTCAACCTACTGTAAGTATTATACTGAAGCAAATTACATCCGCCATTAATCATCATTTGCTGAGAAGATGGATACATTTTCCAACAACTCCAGAAGAAGTACAAGAGATTGTACAAAGGTATATATTAACAATTAGAAATTCTGAAATACCTCACTTTTTTATATTTATTTAAAAAATCGTAACAGATTTTTATTAAACAATGAAATAAACATGTGAAACTTTAAAGTTTTAAAGTAAAAAACAAATAAAATTTACATACTTAAATTATAATTTATAGTCAAATATTTAATTAGCACACAAGTAAATTAAGTAGACTTCTTTTGTATGATTTAGTCTTCTATTCGTCAAATATTTCTTCTTCTTCTACGTTGCTATTTTGTACCTAAAAAAATTACAAGAGAAAATTTAATCAATTGAAGAATCACGGCGACGAAAAAATGAACAGAATCGATCGGGACTAGAACTCGGTGTGTCCTTTGTTCCAAGTATTACTAGTCTCGCATCTAGCAAGCTATCCTACGACCCATGACAGCTCCACTATCACTCCGATCATCAATCAATATCTAATTGATCTTATGGCCTACAGAAATATGTTTTTTTTTTTTTAGAAATTACAACAACACTAGGATTCCAGGATTAATAGGATTGATAGATGGAACAAATGTAGCCATAAGATGTCCTAATATACATGAGGGATTATACATCAATAGAAAAGGTTTCCATGCACAGCATGTGCAAATTGTAAGTGCAATTTTAATGGCCGGTAGTCGGTTCTTATTGAAAGATCATCTGAAGTAAATGTCTGAAGATGTTAAGACGGTTTTATGTGATTGGCTTATGACATCTTAATACTATACTTAAAATAATTTTAAATATAAGAACCGACTATGAATATTAATGTAATTTATATTTCTCTATCACAATTTGTAATACTAATGATTAATACTCATAAACTAATGTCATGAATAAACTGTTTTATAGATATGTGATACAAATCTGGAAATAATTAATATATTGGCGAGATATCCAGGCTCTAGTCATGATTCTTTCGTGTGGAGAAATTGTTACGCACGGCATCTTCTCCGAACGCAATATGAAGTTGGTAATCATTGTTGGATGTTTGGTAAGCACTAATTCAAGTAATTAAATCTGTATCTCTGAAATTTGATTTAATATATATATTTATTTTTAAAAGAAATACCTATCTTTTAAATCAAATTTTTAACGAGTCATATTGGATATGGTGTTTTAATGTAATATTATACAATACATATATTCTTTTTGTTTTACTTATTCAAATAATTTAATAGATAAGGAATCTTCTTTGCTCATTTAAATTTTTGCAGTAAACTAGTTTTTTTAATTTTTAATTTTCAAGGTGATTCTGGATACCCACTGGAGCCATGGCTGCTAACACCATTTGCAGAAACACAACCTGGCACACGACAAGAACATTTTAATGAACGCCACAGTACTGTACGTAGCACTGTAGAGCGCTGCATAGGCGTTTTAAAAAAACGATTTAGATGCCTTCTTCGATATCGCACATTAGAATATATGCCAGAAAAAGCAGGTGAAATTATTAATGCGTGTGCAGTGCTGCACAATATGTGCATGCGTGCTAACTTGCCTGATCCGCCAGAACCAGATGAAGCTGTTATGGCTCTAGAAGATAATGGTCATAACATCGTAGTACAGCCTATGCTAGAAGGTAGAGCTATTTTCAATGAAGGACAACGTGTACGCGATCGACTTGCTACTCGATTAGGTGTATAATTATATTTCTGTGTGATAGTTAATTATTCTCCTTACATTCGATTATAGCTGCATTCGGTAATGCAAATCTGAGGCGTCGGAGTGCTTTTTTATTATAGCATATGTCACGTGCACTGTAGAAAAAGAGCACTCCGGCGCCTCAGATTTGGATTGCCGAACGCAGCTTATGATTTATTGATTTCTACACCTATTCGTTAATCCATTACTGCTACTACCCATTGTAGAATGTGCTTTATACTATAATTCAATGTTATTTATGTACTTAATTATATACTTTTAATTATACTAGTTTAAATTTCAAAAACAATTTCAAAACGAATGCCATGAACAACGAGCGAATTGGCCAATCACTAGAAGACCAGCTTAACGTAAACAGTAGCAAATTAAACGTATTAATTTCGACAAGAAGAGTTTTATTTGTACGTTTTTCTGTGTATGGCAGCCCTTAGTGAACGATTAAAAAAGGATTCAACGCTGTTCTTACTAACCTTACTTATTTTATTACCTATATCTATATACCTATACCTATACCTATACCTATATACCTATTTTATTACTATTTTATACCTTACTTATTTTATTTTATTACTTATTTTTTTACTTTTATATAGTATTTCACCATGTAGTGCCATGTGCCCAAAATATACCTTGTAGCCCAATCAGAATTAATAATGACAATAATCAAATGATGAATAGAAAATTAATCGCAAATCATCGCGTTTTATAGAGATTGTACCGCGTTGTCGTGCACCAATGAGTACATCTGCATTTGTTGTAGTGCAGAATAATACGAAGACCAACATCCTGCAGATAAACTATCATAATATTATTGCTACTACACTATATTACTTTTAATATTATTACTATTATAATAATTGTACGCACCACAGTTGTATCTTGTAAAAAATACTTTATATAATCTGCAATATTTATAACTGCATCAGTCAGTTTTTTAAGTGCAATTGTCTGTGCTTGCATTTCAGTAAGAATTTGTACATCAATGTCTACAAAAATATACAAAAAGGAGTAATATTAATATATAGACTTCGTCAATCTAATTATTACTATTACTTTTATTACTAGTAGTAATAAAATATTACTATTGTTGTTTGTTTCAATTTATTCTCACCACGATTTTCTGTCGATTCTAGTTTTTTTTCGGCGTTTTGTCGGTTCCTGTATTTTACTACAAATTTGTACATCGATATCTGAAAAAAATGTTCAAAAAAAATAAAAATAAAACAATTAAATATTAAAATTTTTATTGCAAACTTATTTATTGTTATTATTATCACTACCCCTACTATTATTACTAGTATTGCTACTATTTAATATACATATTTAAATTTTCTCAGACATACCATTGGTTTCAGTAGATCCTTGTTTTTTTGGCGTTTTGTTATATCTTTACATATTGTTGGCTCGTAGAATTGAGAGGGAGTAAGCAACTGAGTTCCTTTATCAATAGAATGTAAATAAACGGATGAAGATGACGGTGATGTAGCTGGAGGAGAGCCAGAAGCGAGCGGAGTAGTTTTTTGCTGAGAGAGAGATGAATATGAATAAGTTCCGATGAACACATGTGTAGTGGAAGAGATTCACATGGAATAGGGTTATCTTGATGCTGTAATGTAAATACAAGGATTATATTTATCAATAATTAGTAATTAATTTTTTAAAAAATTAATTTTATTAATATGTATAGACTCAACAGTAAGTATTCAAGAATAAGACTCAATAGTACTCACCTCGACAGGATCTATTATGTTTTCACGAGGTTTCGTAGCAAAAAGAGCAGCTTCTTGTCGAAAGAGAGGAGAAGAATGTGGGTAAATATCGATACTCTTTATACGAGGTTTTGATAAAGTATGAGATTGAGATGGAACCGAGTTATCTTGATACTGTAATATCAATACAATATATACACATAAGAATTATTATAGTCAATAAAACTCAAAAATACCTACCTCTACAAGGTCTTCTATAGAGTTATAAGATCTGGAGGAAGACGTGGATTGAAATAGAGATTGAGAAGGACACCTGTTATTGTTTTGATACTGTGATACAGATTGTTTTGTGCAATTTTGTGGCTATATAAATAAATGAATAAAAATAAATATAATAAAAATACAAAAACAGGTATAACATAAAAATCAATATATGTAAATAATTCATTAATAGATGATAAAATTCAACAGTACCAACCTCCGCAGGATCTATTATATTTATATGCCCCTCTACTGATTCAGAACCTATTAAGGCGATCAATCTCTCTTCTACTTCTAGAAGAGGAGCTGGAGATGGACCCCCTCCTCCTGTACCTCGTTGATAACTTTTTAACTTTGCTGCCTTGGCTTTGGTATCCACCCGCCAATCTCTCCATGACTGTAAAAAACATCATATATATAGATATAAAACATACAACACTGTACAACACAGGTTCTCTTCCATAGGAAATTTAAAGAGATTCTGAAAATAGACATAAAAAACATGCATGTATCTTGGCGTTTTACCAGATCAAGTCGTTAAAGTTGATAATAGATATAATATGTACATATTTATACTTTTATCCATTTATCTGTCGATTTGGTCGCACCATTCCCACAACTATTTAAAAGGTTAGCCAATTGTTCCCATAAAATGTTCGATCGTTTCCTGGCATCTAATTCTTGTACTCTATTTTGTGCCAGATCAGAATGGTTTTCCATAAACTGCAACATTAGCAGTTGTTGCTCTCCTGTTGTCTTTTTTCTCTTCTGTTGATTAAAAATTATATGTATATACTATGAATTGCATCACGAGAGCAGTGCTATTGCATAATTTTATTCTTGTTTCGCGTTTAATTAACAATAAAGATAAAAGGACATAGATAATAACAATGAGTAAATGATATAGTGCACTCCCTGAATGCAATCATAAAATAAAAATACTTTGTTGTATGATTAAAATATTTGGAATATAAAATTATTAATACTTACATTATCTGTCATTTTCTTATTTTTTGTCAACTAAAAGAAACATCAAGATTAAGTTAAAAAATATCGCAGAATGTTTTTAATAGGTTATATGTATATAAATATATCTAGTCTACATATATAAAGAAATAACAATAATTTGCTAATAGCAACAATCCGATACAATGCTTTATACTGCATTAAAAACAAAATATAATTACTGTTATCAACGCTGGCTTCAATAAAGTCTCAATAAAGGCTTCAATAAAGGAAAGCAGCCATAATTATGCCGGTTATTACGGATATTTTGAATCTAGTCATTTTTCTTGTAGGCTTATATTGTGATTGGTTATAAAATCCCATTTCGCCCGTTCCTCTCGTTCCACTTATATTCATTCCGCACCTAGAGAAATGGTCGGAAAGCCGATTCCGTTCGGCAACCATAATAGCAAAACCGCATGAACGGAATCACGGTCGGAAACTCGTGAGTCGGAATCTCGCAATTCCGATCGGAAACGCAAAATTTTCATAATAGGTGCCCTGATAACACTATTAACCGCGGTAGACTTAAATAGAAAATCCGGTGGTAGGAAAACTGACGATTCCACACGAGTCGAGGGCAAACAAAACGCGAATACGTTATACAAGGGTAAACCGAATGCTAGTAAGAGCCCGTTTTATAACAAGTCGAGTTACGTAGCGTCGCCTAGATACTTTAATAAAGATAAACGATTCAATAGTTGGCGTCAGAATGATAATTATGCTAAGGCATTAGTACCGAAAACGCAGTATAATGCGAATAATCCGCGAATAACTAAGTCTGGTAGTGTGCAGATTGCCAAGATTCCAGCAAACATGGATACCAGAAATATGAAAACCGTTAGTAGTAGAGATGTCGCGAATAAGATTAGATCCGCGGATAAAGTAGCCGATAGTGGTAAAAACAAATACGATAGATCCGGGACTAACGCGAGTAAGAAATTAGCGGTAGTTAAAGCTCCGCGTGATAAAGGTTTTCAAGATAAAACGAAGACTGTACTTATAAGAAGAATAAACTTAGAATTGCGAGAAGCAAAACAACGAATTCCGACGGTGATACGGATTCGGACAGCATAAACGCGATACGAGCGAGACATCATACGAAGAGTGTACTCATCGACTCAAGTCGCAAGAATGAAGATAAGCAACTGTACAGCGAAATTACCAGAGGAAGGAAGTACTCTGAAGAAGAAAAGGAGAATTTCAGAAGAAATATTTCCGATATGAAGATAAGAGCGCCTAAGACGCCAACAAAACGCGAAAGCGTTGATCCAGCATCCGGTGAACGGGATGAACAGGATTTGAACCTATTCAAATGGGAGCATCCTGTAGCAAGACCGAGAACCGCGTTGAAGAACGGGAAGATCAAAAGGCAGCTGTTCAAACAGCCGATCGAGGACTGTCTCCGCGTAAGATGCGAAGGAAACTTAAAGTACTGTTATTGGATATCCAAGATAGATTGGAACGACAGGAACGAAATAAAATAAACGCTGTTGCTTATTCTAACAACCGTGATCGAGGAAATCGACAAGCGGAATATGAAAGACAAACCGAATTAAATAAAATTCGAAGAAAAGTCTACTTTCAAGATGAGCGTAAAGCTTGGCTAAAGTTCAAAGATGAACAACGCCAGAAGAAAAAGGATAAACAGGCTAAGAATATCGCCAAAGAATGGAATGCGATAGCCGAAAATCCATACGAGAAATTATCTCGTAAAGAGAGAAAACCAGTGACAATCCAGTTAAAGAATGTTAGCGATCGCAAAAGGAAAATGAGCGACACTAACGATAAGAAGATTAAAATTAATCTAAAAAACAGAGGAGAAGATAGGATACCTGCTAAACAAAATAGAAGTGATCTCAACCCAGCAGATACGACTGAGGAAACAAAGGAGAGGAATCTTCACGGAAGAATAAAGTACTACAGATCTCCGGAGTCAACCTCGACCACAAATAAGCGACACAAGGATCGCAAAGATGATCACAAAGATCACAATTACGCATTGAA